TCTCCTCTTTAAAGAGCCCAGTTTTGGGTCTGTTTTATCTCATTTGATTTCACCCTGCTAGTGTATACTATTACTCTAAGCTAAAGACCTTACTGATACATATTCCCCCATGTAGACAGGAAAACTGTAACACGGAAGGCTAGAACATTTTTTAGTCACTAGTATAGGTTCCTGGGCCAAGTGCTGCACCTGGACTGGGTAGGTTTGGATTCACATTCCACCTGGGGGTCCCCACATCCAAGCCACACTGACTTTAGATTCAGATTCCTCCAACTGAAATTCCTGGGCAGACAGGAGCTTAACCGCCCAACATAGCCTACAGCACTATGATTATTCCACACCTTTCCTCTCCATGCTGAGAAATTCTCTCACACTGTTTGAAATCGCGCTTCTATGCCTCAACTACCCATTAGGGGGCAAAAAAGAGCTTTGCAATTCTGTTCTTAATCCCCAGTGTTTATGTCGCCCTCACAAGACCTTTGCCTTGATAACCAACATCATGCCCTGGTCAAACCCAAGCCCCACAGGGATGTACTGCTATGACTCCTGAACCCATGGATGTCTAGCCTGGGCCGTATCATGGTCTTATCTAATTCAAGCTTCCTTTCATCAGTGAGGTCAGTAATATATTATCAAGAATGGACCACGTTTCTTTTAACGGTCCCTCTCCCTACATACCTCAGGTGTTATTCAGATATATAATCTGACCCTGAGCCATTCCACCAAATGCATTCCTAACATTCCAAACCACAGGTCCAATTTTCTCTGAGATAATTTCAAGATCTATCTTAAACACACACATACCTATCACATTTGCTGTGACAACAATAAGGAAATCCTACTCTATCCAGGATGCATGGGCAAAGCATCTAAAATATGCAGACACCTGCTTTGATCTTAGTCTAAGTACTTTTTAGATACACAAACAGGGGTGAGTGACTAAATTTCATCAAGCAGTTCCAATACCATCAAAACTATCAGACTTTACAAAATAAAACTCAGTGGATAATTCTATTTGCTTTGGGGTAATGAGGCCCTGGTCTTGCAATGAGGCCAAAAATGTTCTCTTTCCACCTACCTGATAAATGAAAATTAGGATTCCTGTGGTCATTTTTTAAAATGATCACAGTGGATCTATAACAGAACAATCAGAATTCTTTATGCACAGTGGGGTATTCTAGGTTCCTCATACCCACTACACCCTGTCAGAAGTATGTTTCTGCCTCACCACCCTTTTCCCTCTCCAGCAAACTTAGATGATACCCAAGAAGCACAGTCTTTTATTGATCTCTAAAGCATTACAAACAGCCTATATCAAAGTCACAGTCCCATTGATATAAGGAAGTAGTAGCATCTGCCCAAGTAAAGAGCTGGAACATTCACCTGCGTTTTGGAAAGGATTTGACCCCAGCCCCAGGATGACCCATGCTGCTTGAGGGAAAGACAACAGCTGAAAGGCTTAACTGGGCTGAGCTCTTGGCCTGATGTCTCTTGATAGGCTCTGAGAACTCCCCAGTGATCTCTACCCCTTCTGGTTCAATAGTTTCCCTCTTGCTCCAAGGTAGTTCAGAGGCCTTGGCTAATTCTTGCTAACCCCCCTCCAACTCTGACCTAGCTGGGGGGGGGGGGGGGGCTATTACCAGGCAGAAATGGGCCTCCTCTCTACCCTACCCTACCCTACCCTACCCTACCCTACCCTACCCCAGTGCCTCCCAAAAGTAGCAAGAGCTGAGAGACTGACAGGTGTGAAAGGATGATTTGAAACAAGGAAGCAGGAAGGGTTAAAAAAAAGGTAACAAAGAAAATTCCTTAGCCTAATGGGGAGGGGGGAGGGCTAAGATCAGATAGCACAGTGTGAGGAAACTGGAATGTAGACAAGACAGCAGGACCTCATGACTATTAACAAACACACCCTGCACAGGAAATAAGCTCATTATAATTCACCTGGGAGGGACGAAGTGGGAGGGAAGAACAGGTATCAGTGGCACAGGATAGGTGGACAGAAAAGATCTGTAACCTCCCAGTACCCTAGCCAATGAGGGGAAAAGAGGAGGGAGAAGTGGCCGGGGACAGGGCATAAAATGGGATGTGCACATGCGCTGCGTTGTGTTGGAAGATGGGAAGGAAACCATTCCAATTCCCTTTGTTGCAATAAAGTTTCAAATAGAACTCTCTGCATGCTTGGAATATTTTTCTCTTCGGAAGGGGAAGGGGAAGAGTGTTTCTAACAGGAAACCATCAGAAAAGGTATGGGATATGAAAAACAGGAGTCTGCAGCAGGATGGGGAAATCTGAACAATTCAGCACAAGTGCAAGGCATCCATGAATCTAAGCCATTATATTTTGCTACTCTTAAAAACACATTTAAGGTTTAAATTGGGGAGCCAATTGCTTCTAACTCCCAAAGTCATCCAGCTCTTTAGACCAGCAACTCAAACCTATATAGGTTTGAAATTAAGGAAGTTTACCCACAGACACACACCTTTATCTTAAAAGACTTCACACACTGGAGTGGCCACAACTTTGTATTTATTTACTCAAACTGTTTTTATAGTGCTTGCTATCTCAAGATCCCTAAACAGTTTGATGGAATCTATATTTTTTGAGTGTATTCATTAATTTAATTTCATTTATGTTTTCTTATTAACTGCTTAGGGATCTTGTCAAACAGGATCTTGTCAGAATTATTCCTGAGATGTTCGATACGCAGAATCCATTCATAGGAAGGCTGCTTTAACTATGTGCCGTAATTGCCTGGTTAGTGCTATAAAAATTTTATGCACCATATGCTTCATGGGACTCTCATTAGGAAATGTTTGCCTCACGGCTGCTCTAATTTACACCCTGTGATAATGACCTTCAAGGAGTTGAGGGGTCAGCTGCAGATAAGCTCCAGGAGCACAGAAGCCACTCTGAGGCTTACAGGGGCTGAGGAGGAGGAGGAGGAGGAGGAGAGGCACCTACTCTTGAATTTGCTTTTTATTTAATAGCAGAAATGCAGATACCCAAGGTTGAGTGTAGGTGACCGCTGAACTGTGGCTTGCTAATGTTGTGCAAACGACAAACAACCCATGCAGAGAACTCAAGAACTGTTGCTGGGTCATGAGCTTGCAGGGAATGGGTCAACAGATGATGGTTTATTAGGCAGTTGGGTTCACACAATACAATAGCTCATGTCATAGTCTCTCTCTGAATCAGAGCATTTCAACGCTGGACAATGAAAATTCGCCAGTATTTCTCGGATTTTTCCATCACTTTCCCCAGAATACAGTTCTCACCTGTCCTCTTCAACCCAGCTGTCAGTGCATCTGCAGCGCCAAGCCGACTGATCTTTATCTAAAATAGCAGGGCTGTGAGCTATAAATGGGTACAATTGATTCTTGAGGTGTGAATGACAGAGCCTGGGCCCCAACCACATAGCTTTTGCATTCCTGCTGGATCCTGCTGCTAACAGTACATAAAAGCAAGGACAAAGCTCACAATTCTCTTCCCTCCATCCCCCTTCTAACTGTGCAAGCTGTAAGCAAACAGCCTGAAGGAAATGTGTTAGTTAGAACAGATTAAGCAATTGGCTACAGTGTCTCAGTAAATTGTAATTGTGAGCTGCACAATGCTTTTAAATGTTCTGCTCAGAATATTCAACAAGGGCAAACTGCCAGTTCTGAGCAGGGTGGGGTGGGGGGAGGATTCAGTAAATAAATTTGGGTTGCCTTGAACTAACTAAGAGCTAAACTATTGGTCCAAACAAACTTTGTTCAGTCAGCTATTCTGTTAAATTTAAGAAAGCTATTCTAAGATTGTCAGGCAGTGCTTATTTTGGTCTTCTCCATCACGGTGCCCTCCAGATGCATTTGACAACAACTCCCATAAATTCCCAGCCTGTGAGGACTGCCTTATTTTAGCAGTCCTTCTCCTTCTTTCAAGCGAACGCTTTTGTCCACAGCATGACGTAAACAAACACAGGTGAAAATTGTTTTTGGTCCAGTGCAGAAGTAACAACCACACAGTGACAAGAAACCCTGCATCTTTTCTATATTCACAAATTGGTTGGTTTTCATCCAAATTTAATTTTCAGTAAATTAAATAGTAAAAAGAGTAACACAAGCAACTCTCTTCTTTATACTGCAGGAGTTGGATCAAATTATCCAAACAGTGGCTACATGATAATCATACTCAAGGGCTGCATATGGGTATTACTGAACCATGAGTTTTCATTGAAATGTGGTTTGTTGTAACATACCAAGGTGAACAACCAAAGCTCAAATCATTGATTATTTCCACAGGTTCTTTGTGGTTAACAAGCCATGATTTTTGACTACAGCTCAGGGGAGACAAGAGAATAACCTATGTTTCAGCAACAACTTACAGTCAGCTGTTAAGAATGGGTTATCATGTTGTCTTGTGACAGCCTGCATGGCACAGATATTGTGACTGTGGAGGACAAGCTCCAGCCGGAGATGGTAGTACTGAGTTAGTTCAGAGATGTGGCAAAGACAGACCAAGATCTACTGACAGATCTCTGAATGATCTGCGTACATCTGCAACGATTTTTCACTCCTAGTAGTTTAACAACGGCAACAAATGACCTTTTTGGCACACAATGTAGCTTTTGAACTGAGAAAAAATGAAATAGACTTCTGTATGAAAAGCCATTGACATCACTTCAGTTTTGGTTCTGAAAATATATTCCTAAGCTCAGAATGTTACCAGGAGCACACGATCATTAATTCTATGTACGTGTCTTTTGCATATGACTCTGCTTTGTAGATCTTACAGCTGGACCGTGTACTGGTTATACTTAGAGTAGACACATTGAAATGAATGGGACAAGTTAGAGTAATATTGGATGCAACTCCTCAGATTCTAGTAGAGAACACAGCAGATCCCCCAAGCTGGACTAGATGGATCTCAGATAAGGCATTTCCCTATGACAACTCAGGAAATTAAGTTATATGTATCTGTGCCTTTAAAAAAAGTGTTTGCCACACTGCCTCACTTACCTGATCACAGATCAGCTCCCATTTCTTCTCGTTGTCATACTGCCGGAGTAGCCTTGCTTTGTCAGGAGGCAAGTTCATTGCATTCTGTGAAGAAAGAGAAAGCAAATTATGGGTAACCACAGCAGGCTTGGGTTGAGAGAGGTTGGATGTGAATAAACTGTAACAATATGGTTACAATTATGTTAATTGCTTTCTGTTGGATTCTTGGTTAACAAAGTTAATCCAAACCATTTCAGAAAAAGGATGTTAAACAAGAATTCCCATGGAAGTGAAAGGGGAGGAAAGAAGCACTTCTCCTTTCCATGGGATCTGATTCAAATTTTGAAAGGATTCAGCAGTTTTTCACGTGCGATGAAATGCGACGGGGGAGTCAAGGGTGATGCAGGAATATTCTCTCCCTCTTCTCACATGTAATATGCCATCATCACACATAGACACAGATAGAAAACTACATACAGCTCATGGTCCAAACAACACCAGAATGACAATATTTCAGACTTGCTACTTATGAACAATATTGGCTAGAAAATGGCAGCTACCTCCCAACCAAAATTATACAGCTGAAATGAAGGAAGTCTGGAGTAACCTCGAATGAGTCTTTGCACAGAACAACTGTTCATCAGTTCATCTGTTTCACTCAAAACAAATTCTGAGCTCAGGTCTTGTATTTATTTGGTCTGTCTTTTGTACCGGTATAAGTAGATTGGTCGGTTGATCTCTATGTTCTAGTAAAAGAAAACGTTGCTCCTGTGACACTGAACCCTCCTTGCCCCTGACAGGTGGGACAAGATGAAGAATGTTATAGTTGACCCTTACATTACAAAGCCTCATTGGGAGAACATGGCTTTTCTTCTGGTGGCCTTCCAGCCACATCACAGGCAGGTTTAAAATAAGCAGGTGAATATCCCTATGTAAGGAAATGCTCCACTTGTTGAATTTCCACATGTCGTGCAACTGTTTAAAGCACAGGAAGCCATCCCCACTTAAAAAGCTGGCAACCCTAGCACGGAGTTGGGAGATCCATGGAAAGCTCTGATTATGCATGGGCAGGAGCAGTGGGAGAAAGATATGCTCCGTTCACAGCAAAAGTCCTGGGCTATAAGGGTAAACAGGAGACACAGAAACAAAGTGAACATTGCACATTAGGCTACATGTTCTCAGCCCAGCACTGACAGATGAATAACAAATGCCTATGTTTGAAAGCCCTATTTTTTTTTTAAAGAGAGATCGCAAAATGTCATTAAAATGCTAATGAAGCACTATTTTATTGTAATAGCAGGGCAACATTCTGATTTTAAAATGTCACTGCATGCAAAATTGAAGGAGATAATTTCCATTCTAGGGCTCTAATCTGTGCCCGTAGTGGTTCACGTCCTTCTCATATGAAAGGAGCACAATGAATTAGAAATAATGGCTGACAACCAGCACTAACACAATAACTGAATAGTCAGGAAGGAGGTCTGACAAAACAGGCCAGGAAAATGTACTTGACCACAGTCAATGCCTCTCAGCAGCATCATATGTTTTATTTCAAAGGCTTAACCTCCAGCAGCAATGTCAATTCTCCACTTTCCTCCTCCTCTGATAATCCCTTGGCATATTGGGCTCTAGATAAAAATATAGCCCACAACCCCAAAGCAGCCTCTGTTACTGTGATGGGTCATTCCTCGTGATCCTAAAGGGCGACGCTATGTATTCTGTTAATCATGTGAGTGTTGCATTGCATCAAGATCCCAGAGCAAAGAATGTCCAATGATGTTCTTTGGAACACTCTTGGGGCTTTCAAGAATGTCCTATTAAGCATCAGGTTAAATGGGAGCAGAGCAACCTCCAGATCACTAACTCACAAGCTGTTTAGGGCTTGATAGATCAAAGGCAAAAGTTTGAAATGTGCCCAAAACTGTCTGCAATGGGGGGTGGGTAGGATCCACAGCGAATGAGCAGAGGTTTTTGGCAGAGGAGTTGCAGTGAAAAAGGCTTTGTGAAAAGGAAAGGTTTACAACAAAACATGAACCCCACCCCTTATCTATGCTTCCCTGGAGGAGATAGAGTGGTACTAGTTTATGAAATAGATAACAAGAAGCATATTTTTCAATACTGATTTCTCTGATGGGTTGTCCATGCCCAATCTGGCCCCCTCCAGGTATTTTGACCCATAGCCCCAGTTATCCCTTACCACTGGTCATACTGGCTAGGGCTGCTGAACACTGTAGGCCCCAAAATCTGTACAGGTTGGGAAAATATGGACTAATGTGAAAATTAGGGAAGACATTCTCAGACTGTACTCCCATTTTATGGATTGAAGGCTAACCTAGATGAAAACAGATCAGTAGCAAAGTGTGGATTAGAACTCAAACTTTGTGTGTGTTTTGTACTTGTATTCAACTGAAAAATGAAGTTTTTAAAAAATCACTGGTATTCACAGATGACTGTTGTTCTCTGTTGTTGCCAACAAATCACTAATCATATCCATAGCACAAAGGAACTAACAACACTAAACCCAATATATGTTGCAACCAATATTTATTAAAAATGATGTGTTGTTACTAGAAAAATGAGACAGAAAATACAGAACATTTAATTCAGTTCTATAAATTTCTAAAATAGAATTGTAAAGTGTGTGTGTGCTTGCAAGCATGCCAGAATTACTTACTTTAGTCATATATTTGTTAAAAGTATTTTTAACTTGGATTTTACCCTAGGTTATCAGGCCAGAAAAGAAAAGAAAATATAAATAATCACAATAAAAAATAACAAAAAACGAAAACCACAAAGTTAGGAAAAAACCCCCCTCCAAACAAATGTTATCAAAAATTCTGAACATAACCTCACAAATCTAACATCAGTTATTTGAAAACAAATTCCTTCTTATTCATTCCTGTTCATTTTTGGCAAATGCCTGTGCTTGTATTTTTGAGGAGAAATCTTTGCCTCTATCAGAATGCTAAATGATGGGTGAGGGGGCAGAGAATAAATCTTATTTTCAGTGTATACAACTGGAAGAGCAACATTCCAGAAATTGCCACAAGGCTGAAATTCCAATGTGAAGATTTAAAGTGACACAAGACTAATCACAAGTCATTCACTCACTCCCCCAATACCTCCAAGATGTCTTAACCTAATAGAGGACTACGGTGCCTCAGAGAAGGTTTAAACAACCTTCTGTACAAAACATGTCCATTTGTCTCCCCAAAATTAAAATCGAAGATGAACGTGAAAGCCTTTACAAAGGGCACCTTCCAGCCTGGACCATTCCTCTTTACGGCCTGGGGCAATTGCTATTTTTCCAGGGAGAACAGGGGAGTAGAGCATTAAATACAGCATTTTAAAGAAAATGTTACCCGCTGCAAAGGCAGGAGGATGGATTCTTATAGCTGAGTGTTTTAAAAAGCACATTCAGACTTGCTCTTTCTGCCTTTTTTTTTTTTTTGCATCACTACTCACCATCAAACGGTAATTCCCTACAACTCTACCAAGAGCCCCACCAACTCCTTCTGCAGTTTTCTTGTAAATGATTCATATTCTACTCTGAAGATGTCTACAGTATGACTCGTCCTCCTTCCTGTAATTATACTGCCTGATTACATCCAGTGAAATTGTGTAACATGGGTAGACCTTGTACGCTGTAATCATCTCTTCCAACTGAGAGATAACCTGCTTGCACTCCCTAAAGCACAAACCCCACTGCAGTGAATGAATAGGAAGACATTTTCCTTTGAATCGTACCACTCTTAACTTTCTCACGCTCAGCAAGAATTTTTTAGAAATACTAAGCAAGCAACCCATGGCCTTGAGGCTCAAGGCCTTGATAACAGTGGGTCTGAGAACTATTTCACAAAAGTTAAGTTTTGCGTTTCAGTCATACACTAAAGTACTTTGTGGATACACCTGCAATTGTATGCACAATGTAAATAGGATGTACAAAGGTTCAAAACCAGATATCTGTTGATTCACACTTGGTGACAAATCCTGACTTGCTCCAAAGATCAGCTGAAATTCTCCAAAAGGTGCAATCCTAGCCTACCACCTAGGAAAACAGACCAAGTTAATGGTTTTCCTTCATTTAAACATCCTGAGCCCGTGACTCAATTTCGCACATTTCCAAGCTAATCCTTAAAAAATGTGTCATTTTCTCAATGTTACAGACATGGAAATAAACTTCAAAGAGCATAAATAACTTCCTTCTGGAATTTAACCATAAAGTTTTCTGCAACCAGTGAAAATGCACACAACTAATTCTCTTGCTTCTTCATTCAGATTTAAACATTTAGCACTACATGAGAAATCTTCCTTATTTGTCACACCTTTGAAGTTCTTCTCTGCCCTGTGATCTAGTTACATTTTAGATTAACAGAAAAAAGACAGGAAGCCTTCCTAAATCTCACCTGCCTTTTTACAGAATTGCTCACAGTATCACTCCAGCAAGTGAGTCATTTATCCTCTCTGGTGTTTTCCAGTTGCCAATGCCAGAATACTCTTTTTCTGTTGAAAATGTTTTCCCTTCAGGCCACTTCTTCTTGTTCTACCTTGTTTGAAAAATATTTCTGTTTCTTCATTCCACCTGTATGGTAGATGGAAATTTGTGACAATAGCAAAGCAGGCCTCCTTCACCTATCTCCCCCTGCCCCCCTTTCCATCTCATTTTGTTGTACTTTGTGTGTGCTTTTCTAAAAAGTTCTTTCATATGTATGTTTTCGCTGAGGGGCCTTCTTTTAATCCTTCCTAGAAAAAGGAGGCTCTAAATTGCATTCCAGGACTTTGCAAAGCTCCCAGGTTATATAAAGCATTGCTATGGGCAACCAAAACACTAAATCACCTTGAACTATGATCTTAGGAGCAGCATTAAGCTAATAAGAGTTTCCTCTCAGGCTCAGAACTTAGTCAAGTCTGTGGCTTAGCACTGCTATGAAGTTCAAGGCAATTCGGGGCCACTCATATCACTTTTTGTTGACACAGAAACCTCATTATCTGTGGTTTGCAGGTTACTTGAGAAAATGCTCCTTTTTCTATGACCCTCTTAAATTCACGTTTAAAAAAAATGTGAATTTGATGCTCCGTTATCACATTTGCTTTCCTACTCCAAC